TAATGACAAAACTCAAATAGTTAAAATATTTTTACTTTCTTAATGATGCATTTTGAAGGCCAGAATTTTTTATTTTTTGATCTAGTCCAGTTTATCTGATTTTTTTTATTATTTATGCTTTTGCTGCCCTGAGAATCCTTTGCTAAATCCAAGTTTGTGAAGATTTACTCATATGTTTTCTTCTCAAAGTTTATAGTTTTAGCTTCTGTCTTTAGGTCTTTGATCCATTTTAGTTAATTTTTAGGTGTCTTATGAGGTAAGGACTTCGTACTGTTATTAATGTGGCTACTAGAAAAGTTTAAGTTACATGTGTGGATTGCATTGTATTTCCATTGGACAAAGCTGACCTAGACCAGTGGTCTCCAAACTTTTTGATACGAATTGTGATTAGGAAAATACTTGAGTACATACTCAACAATATATGTAAATGTATTCATATTTATTTATAGATTATGTATGCGTATGCTATCAAATATGAATAGTGTGTACATAACGATATAAAACCTACACAAAAAATGAAAAGTTAAGATAATGTAACATTAAAATAAATGTAAATAAAAGTTCCCACAGTTCAACAAATAATTTTGCACATAACTACTTTTGAAGACTGATGGCCTAGATTATTATTATAACCTTCTAAATGACGGTAGTCTTCTTCCTGCTGCAAGCCATTCTGCGCGCTGCTGATAGAGCACTCTTTCTCAAGTGTGGACCAGATCATGTCATGCCTAACCAACTTCAGGATAAAATCCAAACATACAAGGCTTTTCATAACATATCTCTGCCTATATCTCTCTAGCTTCAACCCTCACCATGCATCATGTATTACTGATCTATACTATACTACTTAGAATTTTCCCTAAAACTTCATTCTCTACTTAGACATTTCCCTCTACCTAGAATGCTGTTTCTCTGCTTTTTCACTAGATTAGTTAGTATTAGTTTTTATTCCTCAGTGGTATGCCTTTTCTTACCATTTAGCCTACTACGGTAATTTTTAAATTTGCCTATCTTCCTCAGTAGACTATTAGATCTTCTAGGTAGGTATTTTATATTCTCAGTGCCTATGCAGATTATAGGTTTTTATGAATGTTTCTTAAAAGGAAGAGTTCATTAATGTCTTTTTTAATGAATTAATGAGTATGTTTCTTCTCATTCACCCTGCTTTTCAGTAGTCATTGATATTCATCAGTAAGAAAAAAATAGTAATTTCCTTTTATTTTTGTTTTTCTGGTTTTTTTTGAGACAGAGTCTCACTCAGTTGCCCAGGCTGGAGTGCAGTGGCACAATCTTGGCTCACTGTTTACTGCAACCTCTGTCTCCTGGGTTCAATAGATTCTTGTGCCTTAGCCTCCCAAGCTGCCGGGATTAAAGACTTGTGCCACCACACCCAGATAATTTTTGTGTTTTTAGTGGAGATGGGGTTTTGCCATGTTGGACAAGCTGGCCTCAAACTCCTGGCTTCACATGGTCCACCTGCCTCGGCCTAATATTTTTTACTGTTTTTGTTTTACTATAAGTATTATAATGATGAAAAACAATTGTATTTCTTGTTTCTGCTGTGTTCTTTTTGCTTAAATATGTCTTATTAATATTTCTTTTCATTAAATCTTAATATAATTTCTTATATCCTTAATAATCTTAATAAATCTGAGTTAATCTTTTAATGAAAGATTTTATATTATCGTTTATTCTTTTCTGTGTGTGTGTTTGTACTACATTAGTGGGCTAAAGGGGTCTTTTAGGGCAACTGGGAACTTTAATACCATTTCTAATATATATAAGAGGAAATGTGTTTCACTGTCCTTATAACTGACTTAGAGGTGAGCTTTAAAATGTGAACCCCGTATATATTAGAGGCCAATTGTACGGTGGTGTCTTCTATGTTATTATCATTATGCATCATAAATGACATCAACAATCATACTAGTACTCACAGCTCTTCCCATTACCATCAATTCTCAGAAAGTTTTTCTCAGTAAAGTTATACTATAAACTAATAAAGCACTATAGAGCATATTTGTAAGCAATCTGAAGACACCATCTTTCCTTCTATTTAGAGTTGATTTTCCTTGCTTGGAATCCCCCAGTCAAAATCAGGGAAATTCTTGTTTGAAGAAAGTGGTCATGGTGTTAACACTTCAACACTAGCATACCAAGAATTTCTTGAGTCAGTGTTTTATGATTTATGATATTTTTATTGATAAGTAATGTCACCATATCTGTATAAGAACATTATGCAATTCCAAAACAAAATAAAAGCACTCAAACCAAATGAACAATTTAATATTATTAAGCTTGCTGTCTTCAAATCATTATCTTCTTCAGAATGTTGGTGATACATGACCTCTGCATCTCATTATTTTCTTGCACCTCTTTGTCTTCTATTTCATTCATTTGTAACTCTGTTTCTGTGTAATTGCATTTGATTGTGTTTATTGTTCTATACTGAGTATACACATACATGCTCTACACCTTCAACATACATTTACTGCAAAATTACCATGTTTAAGCGACCCTAGTGTCAAGTTCTGTGGGAGACAGAAAGATGAAAAAAGTTACACCTGACATGTGTGAAGGATAAGAAAGAATAAAAAATAAAGATAGCTTGAAGATTTTTTAATTAACCTAATAAAAATAGAGCTAATGATAAACTGATGTTTGCAAACATGTAATAGAATCAACAGACATACAATACAAAATTCTCATTAGGACTTATTTTATTTGTAGAAATCTTACTATTTTATCATCAAATTGGAGAGAACTTGATATATTTATATTGGGAAATGAGGAACAGTATAGTCATAAACGATAAACTTCTTAAAAATGTATCAAGAGAGAAAGTAAATTAGTGGTTCCCTAAGGTTGAATGTAAGGAGCAAAGGAGAAAGTTGGAATACGGGGAAGATGGAGAGTGAGTGGTATGGACACAAAGTTTCTTCTTGAGATAATGAAAATACCCTAAAATTAGATTCTAGTGATAGTTGCACAACTCTATACTAAAAACATTGAATTGTACACTTTAAATGGGTAGACTTAATGATAGGCAAGTTGCATATCAGTAAAATTATGTCATTAAATTTAAAAAATAAAAACAAAGACTATATGCTTTTTCCATCTCTAATAAAAATGGAAAGGATAGAATTTTAAATCTAAGCAAGCAACTCAAATCACTATATAAACTTTTGCCAGAACTCATCTTTTTTACTTGGTATGAGTTCTTAGAAGTAAGTTTATAGGATGATCTTTTTTTTTAATTTACTTTATTGCATTTTAGGTTTTGGGGTACATGTGAAGAGCATGCAAGATTGTTGCATAGGTACACACGTGGCAGTGTGATTTGCTGCCTTCCTCCCCATCGCCTATATCTGGCATTTCTCCCCATGCTATCTCTCCCCAACTCCCCACCCCCCACTGACTCTCCCCTATTTCCACCCAACAGACCCAAGTGTTTAGTGCTCCCCTCCCTGTGTCCATATGTTTTCATTGTTCAACACCCGCCTGTGAGTGAGAACATGCAGTGTTTGATCTGCTCTTGTGTCAGTTTGCTGAGAATGATGCTTTCCAGGTTCATCCATGTCCCTACAAAGGACACAAACTCATCGTTTTTGATGGCTGCATAATATTCCATGGTGTATATGTGCCACATTTTCCCTGTCCAAGGATGATTTTTAACACTATTCATTATTATTATTATCATTATTCTTTTTAGAGACAGGGTCTCACTGTGTTACCCAGGCTAGATTGCAGTGACACAGTCCTAGCTCACTGTAACCTCGAACACCTGGGCTCAAGTGATCCCCTCATCTCAGCCTCCCAAATAGCTGGGACCACAGCCGTGTGCTAGCATACCAGCTAATTTTTGTGTTTTTTGTAGAGATGGGGTCTCACCATGTTGCCCAAACTGGTCTCAGACTCCTGGCCTTAAGTGATCCTCCTGCCTCAGCCTCCCAAAGTACTGGGATTACAGGCATGAGCCACCAATACCTGGCCTTAACATTATTTTTTAGAGTTTTGTCTGCATTTCTTTATCTGATGTTGGGAAATATTAAAATACAATAGAATTATTTCTGCCCTATGATTTTATTTAGAGCACAGTTACCTTTTTGTCATTATAAAACATCCATCTTGGATTCCATGGATTCCACAATTCACAGATTAATAGGTTAACTGATATAAAACATGAAAATGCGATAAATATGACAACGTTAAGTTACTGGAAATACAGAGAGGGACTTTGGAGCAACATGTCTTCTCAAAATTATTAGCAGTTCTTTAAAGAAATCCGCCACTTCCCCCCACCATAGTTAAAAGGAATAGATTTTATTAAAATTATTTCTTAGAAGTAGAATTGAGATATTTCACATGTAATTTTAAATATTGAAGGCCAGTGCAATAAGTTATGGTAATGCAGAGCATCAGAGGGAGTGATTTTTTTTTTTTTTTAGTACAGAAGCTTGATCTTTACTCTAGACATTCTCTAAGTTTTATATATCTTTTTCATCTCCACTTTCAATTAAAAACCTCATTTTTGTTTTATATTATAACACGCATTATGTTGTTTGAGGTAAACTCTGATACTTCTCAAAGTGATATGGTAATTATTTTTGTAATATTTTAACTAATTTTCTGGTTTGTTGTAATTGGAAAATATTTGTAAAAATGGAGACAAGCTATAAATTGCTGTATTGTGGCCTTTTCAAGCAAGTATTACAATGTAACTCTTCACTTTTATAGCAAGGGCTAAAAACCATAACTGCAGTAATCAGTATATCATGGTTATGTTCCAGAGATTTAAATGTTGTTACTTGCATAATTCTGAGTTGTGGGGTATTGGTCTTTCACTACTGGTACCTGAAAATATTTGACTCTATATTTTTTCTGTTAATATTTAAGTATAACTAGAAAATAATATCTATTTTGAAGTATATAAACACATTTTGAATATTTCAGGCAGCATTTCACTTTTAAGCTTTAATTTTCTCATTTCATTTGCCTAGTGTTCACTTGGCAAGAAGAGTCCTTCAATTAGAGAAGCAAAACTCTCTGATTTTAAAAGACCTGGAACATCGAAAGGACCAAGTGACACAGCTTTCACAAGAGGTAAGTAACTTAAACAAAAGTAACCCATAGGAAGAATCACAGTATTAATTTAATTTTTTGTAGCTCTTTTTGTTTTTCTGAGCAGTTTTAAAATAAGCTGTTTGTACAAAATGATTTCACAATTTATGAAACTAACTGAATGTTAAGGCCAAAACAACTTACAGCATATGGCAAAACTGAGAACAAAAGGGAAGTTAAATGCCCAGACTAAGTATAAATGCAGACTAGACAAACAATGCTTTGATTTCTGAGAATATCAACTGGTGAAACAAGTTTGGCAAACTTTGGTGCCATTTTCAGTTTTTTACTAATCATTATTAAAAATAGATTTGGTTTTTACCTCTGTGTTTAATGAAAAATTACTTTTTTGTTAAATTTAACTTTGTTTACACTTTAAAAATCAGGTTGATATTTCTTCTTTTTCTTAGCCTTATGGCATTTAAAGACTATATATTTATATACATTTTACATAGCATTTTTAATCATCTTCTGATGTCAAGATCTAATTACATTTTTCTGTAGTTTTGAAATTCAAGTCATGAAACAATTAAAACCAAAGGTACTGCTTCACTAATGTTCCTTTTATTTATTTATTTAACGTTCCTGAGTGTCAACATAAGAAGTTTTTTCTGTTTTGTTTTTGTTTTTGTTTTTATTTTTGAGACAGGGTCTGGCTTCTTCGCCCAGGCTGGAGTGCAGTGGCATGATCACAGTTCATTGCAACCTCCACCTCCCAGGCTCAAGCGATCTTCCCACCTCAACCTCCTGAGTAGCTAAAACTATAGCTGTGCACTACCATGCCTGGCTAATTTTGGGTTTTTTGGGGTAGAGACAGAGTTTCACCATGTTGCTCAGGCCAGTTTTGAACTACTGGGCTCAAGTGATCCACCTGCCTATGCCTCCCAGAGTACTGGAATTAAAGATGTGCCACTGCATCCAGCCAAGAAGTTAATATTTTAAAACTTTTACAAGTTATTTATCTTACAATAAAGGGATTTTTAAAGACATGCATTAAATAACATTAATATATGTCATGTATTCTTTATTCTCTTAAGGATCTGATTATAATCTTTACACTGTCTTTTAATACTATAACATTAGGAGGATCTTTATTCTCAAATTTCAAAAGACCAGAAATATTTCATTTTACTGCAGTACCTGACACATAGTTAATATTCCGGGTAGACACAGTAGTGTGTTGGTAATTGTTAACAACCAGGTTTCCAAGAGGAATATGAGGGACAGCTCGATTTGTAGCATACGCTTGTGTCTGTTGTATAAATATTCGCAGCATGGCTAACTTCAAACTGCCAAACCTAAGGTTACCCAAGATGGAGTAAAGAGTGTCAGCAGCAAACTAGTACTTAATGTTTGCACCATACAGATACAACAGACATGGGTAAACTCAAGCGCATAGATAATAGTAAAATAATTTTAAATTGACAAGTTTGATTATTTTTACCTTTGTTTTTAATAAAATGTATTTTACTATAAATTTAAGTAATTTAGTAATGGTAGTTGTGTTAGACAGCCAGCTCACAAAGTTCCAAAAAATTCTCAAGATTCATTAGTGCCTCATTCTTTTCATTGCTGAATAATTTCATTGTGTGGATGTACCACAGTTTGTTTATCCATTCACTTGTTGATGGACATTGAGGTTATTTCCAGTTTTTAGAATAAAGCTCATATGAACATTCACTTACAAGTCTTCGTATGAAATAATAGAGAACTCCTTAGCCAACTCCAGAACACCACTGGGTGAAAGCAGAAAAGATAAATAAATGAATAACTAAAGAAACAAATGAACCTCTGTTTGCTAATATATTGTACACCCCCCCATTGACTTTAATTCCGCAATAATTTTCAAAAATATTTTTTAAAAATAAAATATTAAAATACATGCCTTCCTGAGCATTTCAGTTAATTGAAATAAGAATTTCTAAATGTGAACTGGATGCAGTGGCTCCTGCCTATAATCCAGCACTTTTGGAGGCCAAGGTGGGAGGGTCGCATGAGCTGAGGAGTTTGAGCCTGAGCTAAAAATTCCTTTATCTCTAAAAATAAAGAAGCCAGGTGCAGTGGCTCATGCCTGTAATCCCAGCACTTTGGGAGGCCAGGCAGGTGTATCACTTGAGGTCAAGAGTTCGAGACCAGCCTGGCCAACATGGTGGAACCCTGTCTCTACTAAACATACAACAATTAGCTGGGCATGGTGGCACATGCCTGTAGTCCCAGCTACCTGGGAGGCCGAGGCATGAGAATCACTTGAGCCTGGGACGCAGAAGTTCCAGTGAGCCCAGATCGTGCCATTGCACTCCAGCTGGGCAACAGAGGGAAGCTCTGTCTCAAAAAAAAAAAAAGAACAAATTTCTAAATGTGAACAAACTTCTATAAATTGTTGGGAGAAAGTGTAAGAAATGAAATGTTAAATGTTCCTATAATTAAGTATCATTAACTTTGTATGAAGCCATTTTTAAATAAGCAATGGCTTATATTGAGAGAAAGACTCACATGCTGAAATATTTATGATATGAAAAGGTATGGTACCTGGAATTTGCTTTAAAATATTTCATGAGAAAAGGAGGAAGGGCTCAATAAAACAAGAATCACAAGATGTTAACAATGTTTGAAGTTCGATGACGTTTACATATAGGTTTAGTACTCAGTTCTGTACTTTTGTGTATGTTTGAAAAAATTTCGTAAGACATTTGGAGAAAGAATCAGTAACCCTATATTAAAGGATCTATGCCAACTTCAGTATATAACTTTTCCCTTAAGATTGAAAATAAAGTATTTGAAGTATTCCATGGATTTTACTTTTTTCTGCTTCACAAAAATTATATTGCTTACACTGAAAATAATTATATAAGCTAGCTGAATGATTAGTATTAGTATTAGATTGCCATTATAGCAATAGACTATTCATAATAGATGGTGAAATAATAGAGAAAATTCTCTCGGGATCTCTATTCTTTATTTTATTTTATTTTATTTTATTTTATTTTATTTTATTTTTGAGACAGAGTCTCGCTGTCTTACCCAGGCTAAAGTCCAGTGGCACGTTCTTGGCTCACTGCAACCACTGCCCCCCAGTTTCAAGTGATTCTCCTGTGTGAGCCTCCTGAGTAGCTGGTATTACAGGTGCATGCCACCACGCCGGGCTAATTTTTTGTGTTTTTAGTGGAGATAGGGTTTCACCATGTTGACTGGGCTGATTCAGGATCTCTATTCTTTGGATCAGGTTAAATATTTACATCAGTTTGGCCTTTTTGATAATAAACAGATAAAACACAAATAACTAATGTTAGAATTAACATTGAGCTAAATGCTATTCAGATGATGTCTGAGGTTATGCATAAGTGAACTGATAAAATGACAATGCTAAGTAATACCCAAAATAAAAACAAATGCTCCCCTTTTTAGCAGCTTTATTGAGATATAATTGATAATACAGTAAATTGCACGTATTTAAGGTATAATGCAGTTTAACATTTGGCACATGAATATACCCATGAAACTATCACCAAAATGAAGATAATGAATACATACATCTCCCCAAAAGTTGCCATATACCCCTTTGGAATTCCTCCCTCCCAACTCTCCCAATCTCAGTCCCTAAGCAACTACTGATTTACTTTCAGTTATTACAGATTAGTTTGCATTTTCTAGACTTACATAAGAGGAATCATACAGTGTATATATACTTTTTTAAATCTATCTTCTTTCACTCTGCATAATTATTTCAA